AGTGCATAAAATTTCTGATGAAACAAAAATTCTGATGAATTTGATATTTACCACAATATGTTATAATCTTATCGTAAATTTGTTAAAGTCTCTCTTAACTAAAAGTGAGTCTCTTTTCTCTCTCTCTTTTTTCTTTTTTTTTTCTTTTTTTTTCTTCTATTTTTAAAATTTAATCAGAAATCTCCAACAATACTGATGGCTTAAGTCTGGTGTATACTTTTTTTATTTTTCTTCTGTAAAACATTTAATGAATAAAATAGCTGAGACGTTTACCCTGGTTTTTGTCTTACTTTGGCTTTAGTTAAATAAGACAATGTTTATCACCAAAGATGGAGTTTAGGAATTTTTATATTGTCTCTCCGTAATCCGATAAAAACAAATGTTGCTTTTCACGCATCGAAGTCGCTGACCAAAGATGCTTCGCAGAGATTCTGTCCTCATGCATTTCTATATCTTCTTTTACAAGGATAAATAATTTATAACTATCCCAAGTTCTTAATCTAATCGGTGTTTTGTCATGAAAAGTCGGGCCTCCCCAACATTGTCATTCTCATAATCACTTTTAAAAGTTTAAACAGTGAGTATGTATTAATTAATAGTATAAACAGGAAGTGTTGTGTGAAGGAGAGATTGGTTGAAGTTTTGATGTGAATGTCTTTCAAGCCAACAAACATTCACGTTGGAGCCATTTCTTAAGGAGTCTCGGTCTTTATTAGGGTTTCACGTCATTCTCACTTCCATAGTGTATTATCCTAACATTACCCACTTCCTCTCTCTTAATTTTATTCCATTCTTTTATTTATTAATTTTTTTTTGAACTTCTTTATTAAATAACTTCCTAACAAACTTTCTGTTTCGTATTCCTCTTGTGTTATAAAAAGTCAAATATAGGTCACCATATGATATTTTGCAAATCATGAAAATATGAATTATGTAATATTGTTGAGTGTTTTGATTATGTAGAAGGTGGGATTTCTTTTCTTTTTTAGTATCATACATCTACTTTATTAAAATAGAAGTACTCATCAAGAATATGCCTTTATTTTTCAACTTATTTACAATATTATGCCACTGAAGTTATTAGTTATCCTATCTTTTAGGTTTTTTTTCTCTTTTCATATTTAATTAATGCATTTCCAAAATTAAATTCTAACTAAAATTTATTGAAACAATAATCAATAAATCTATTTTTTAGTATTCTTTGTCTTTTTCTATTTTATCATATATATGTATATTTGAAAATAGTTAATAAACTTAACTATAAATAGTTACTCAACATTATTTGGAAAAATATATAATTATTTTTTATTATTTGTGAGCAATAAGTAAAATAAAATCATATAAAAAGAATTATTTATATAATATAGCACCATATACTTTAAACATTATATAAAATAATTTTAGTATACATTATCATAAAATTTTGATTCATAAAATATATTTTCCAAATATACGGATCATATTCTAAAAATAGGAATGATACAATTGCTGGTTTACAAGATAAATAAAACTACTCATATCTATATTATTAAAAGAGAAGTACCGATATAAAATACCCCTGAGTTTTTCTAATTATTTACAATGTTATGCCACTGAAGTTATTAATTACCCTACCTTATAGGATTCTTTGTCTTTTCACTTTAATTAATGCATTTCCAAAATCAAATTTTAACTAAAAAAAATTATGGCAACAATAATTAATGAAAATAATTATTTTCATATATACCTTTCGTAATTAAATAAATAAATTATATATAAATTGTTTTACTAATTCCATATACATAATAACTAATTCCAATATTAATTAACCTACCTTTTAGGATTTTTTTTCTTATTAATTATCTACATATCTTTAAATAGTTAATGAACAATATTTTTTGAAAGATATATAATTATATTTTTATTATTTATAAGTAATAACTAAAATAAAGTCACAAAAAGAAACATTTATATAATATATAATAAAAAGATTAATATAAACATATCATGTTATGTATATTTTTATATAAATAATAGTTCAAGGTAAATTCAGAGTAATAAAAGTTAAAAAGTAGAAATATATAGGACCATATATTTTAAATAGTAAATAAAACAATTTAGTTATACGTTATCATAAAATTTTGATCCATAAAAATAAAATAAAAACATTTGTGCAGATATACGGGTCATATTTTAAAAATAAGTATGACACAGTGATAGTTTATAAGATTAAATAAAATTACTCAATATAAACTATAAAATTGTGTGTTTAAAATGTCATTTTAAACAATTATTTAAATGGGTAAATTTTGAAATATATATTATCAATTATAAAATATATAAAAACAAATACTTACGCGGATCAAACAGCAAATTTTCCGGTATTCTTCTATCAAAATTAAACCTATAAGTAATTTTTAACCATTTAATTGATACTTCCTTTTTTTATTTTACATCATTTAGTATAAACCTAAAAATTAAAAGAAAAAAAAACACTCGCCCGGTCGGGCGGGTCATGGTCTAGTAAACTATTAAATTATTGTGTTTAAAAATACTGTATCATCTTAAATAATTATTTAAATGAGTAAAATTTTTAAAAAAATATAGGATCACTTATACAAATAAATATACATTTAGAAAAAAACTAAAAATAAGCACCAATGCGGGTGTACTTCTCTGATGTTTAGTTTGTTTATATGACATCAATAAATTGTTAACAACCACTAACAAATAAATCAATGTATTACGACTAACTTTACAAATGCATCATGAAATACAAAACAAAAATTAAAAAGACAAATAAAACACGCACATTCGTGCGGGTCAATGTTTAGTCTACTCTATTAAAATAGAAGTGATCATGATTTTTTCATATGTAATATTTTAAAATAGATATTCCTTTAAAAATTGTTTACATTATTTTTGTATTTGCATAATAAAATCTTAACAATGTTTCCAATTCCTTTATTTATTCTCATCCATAAATTTAGAAAGTGTTTATTTCCTTATTTATTCATTTTTCTTATCAACTTATAACTAACTAAGTTTCAAAAATACATTTGAAAAAGATCTTAAATAGATTTTTTTAGGAACTATTTTATATTTATTTATATTTTAAAGGTAATAACAGTTTAAATTCTATAAAATATTTATCTACTAAATATAACTCATGATTTATTTCATGTATGTTTTTATTTAGAGAATACTCTAGAAGAAAAAGTTAAAAGAAAATCTAATAAACTCAAAATCTGGATAGCACCATATTCCTAAAACCTAAAATGAAACTATATATACACATTCAACTATGCTACAAATATCATATTTTCAAACTCGCATCTCTCAACACATTCATCTTAATATTTAGAGTTTTAATATTTTTTTGTCAAATGATGTGGAATAACATCTATATAGAGTTAGAGAATAAGACCAAAATATTTACAACTTAATCATATTTTTGAAATAAACATAAGTCATCTATATATAGGAAAAATAATCCAAAAATGACTGATGTTTATATTCCAAAAAATTATGTTTAAGTTGTAAATATTTTGGTCTTATTCTCTAACTCTATTTAGATGTTATTCCACGTCATTTGACAAAAAAAATAAAACTCTAAATATTAAGATGAACGCGTTAAAAAATGCAAGTTTGAAAATATGAATTGTAGCATAGTTGAATGTGTATATATAGTTTCATTTTAGGTTTTAGGGATATGGTGCTCCAGATAAATTTGAGTTTACTAAGATTTTAAAATCGTATATATGTAAATGTTTTAAAATCGTATATATATGTAAGGAATGGACTTGTAGAATTAGGTGAAGTTTCTTTTCTTTTCACTTTTGATTTAAGATTTCTAACTTGTTTTCATCATTATACACACCGTATTATTATTATTTTTAACATATACACACCGTACTATTTCAGTTAGTACCAATTTGGACTATGATTTTATATGTTTACGGTATTTACGAAATGTTGTACTTCGAAGTAATACATCAATACTCTTGAGAAATTATTATAAATGATAATGAATAAAGAAAGATAAAAGGTTAGTAGTATACGACTGTCGTGTGTTAAAGAAAGAAGAGAAGGTCAAATGACAACGTGGGGGAGAGACTTCTCAAACTGCATCGGACGCCAACCTAGCACGCGCCTTTGCGGTGCTCACTCTGTTTCCATAATTTCACATATAATGCTCTCACTCCGGGTCAAAAACGTCGTTGCAGAAATTATTAACAGGAAATGTGTTATGTATTCCCATCATATAGTTCAAACCAGCATGAATCAGCAAAACTTGTTACGACTATTGTATGATAAAATACATCACTAAATAATCTAACAAAAACGTGGAAGGTCCCTTACACCAATAGTTTAACTATATATTCATTAATGCTTATATATCATGAAATTTGGATTTCGAATCCCAAAAAGTGACTTATACATATTAGTGGAGAAAAAATTTACAGAAGATTTTCAACATTGTTTCGCAAAATAATTTCTCAAAAAAAAACAAAGATTTTCAACATCGTTCATATAGAATCGTCAAGTGTAGATTTTAATAAGTTGGCTCAAAATAATGTAGTGGGACGTTAGTCGTAATAAAATAGATAGAATTATCAATTATACAATTGTCTATGTTATATTTTCTAAATTTTTTATAGTATAATTAACCTAACATTAGGAAAACAACATGGATTAACCACTTTGTCACATAACTTATCCTCCTATATATAACTTACAAGAAGTTTATTTTCCCATTCATATTACATAGCTAAAATACATTAGTAATCTTATCATATACTTTCTCCGTTTCAATTTATATATCGTTGTAGATTAAAAAAAATTGTTTCAAAACAAGTATCATTTTATAATTAAGATGCATAATTTATTAACTCTATATATTTTTATAAGCGAACCATTTAAAGTCAGAATTAAATGAACACATGTGAACACCAAACTAGCTCGCTCCCCTACAAAAGCCTTCGAAAACCTGTTATAAATACACACTTCGCCAACTCTCTTTCCTTTAACTCTAAGCTTTGCTTTCTTCCTTCAATATTCTCAAACTTCAAGAACCTCAAAGTTCAAAAGAATTATATCCTTAAGCTGTAACGGTTCAACTTAATTACTCTGTTAACTAAGATCGGTGTGACCGTGATCAAAGCAGAGATGGGCGGTCCTGGATCATCACCATGTGCTTCGTGTAAACTTCTTCGACGACGCTGCGCAAAAGATTGCATATTTGCACCTTATTTCCCTTCTGACGATCCTCACAAATTCGCCATTGTTCATAAAGTCTTTGGCGCAAGCAACGTCAGCAAAATGTTGCAGGTTCGTTCCATTTCGTTTCGATTTACCCATAACTATATTCTATACTTTATTTCTTCCATAATATATTGTTCCGTTGAAAGCTTTCAACACTCTTTGCATATGCCTCTTTATTTTCCCATCTCTTCCAAAACATTCAGTCTGTGTTTGGTCAAGTATCAAACTTTTTTAAAATATGCATTAATATATATATATATATATAGTAATAATAAATGAACGTTTAGTTTCAAAAAATAATAATAAATGTACGTATTTCTCTCCAACAGTATTCACGTTGAACTGGTTGACTAATATTATGCTCGCAAAAAAATATTATGCTCGCAACTTATTTAATATACAAAGATGGTTTACATGGTTTGTATAATTTGTTACAGGAGCTACCAATTCATCAAAGAGCTGACGCGGTGAATAGTCTGGTGTTCGAGGCAAACGCACGAGTTAGAGATCCCGTATATGGCTGCGTAGGAGCAATATCATACTTACAAAATCAAGTCTCACAGCTTCAAATGCAACTAGCAGTGGCTCAAGCCGAGATTCTCTGCATCCAGTTGCAACACGAGCCAACTTTACAGTCTCATCATCAATTACTTGAGCTAGACCAAGGCGATAAAGCTCTCTTGCTACACAACAACAACATCGATAACTTCAACAGCAACAATAATAACAACAACCTGTGTTATGCCATGTCCTCTGGGCAGTTCAGCTCTAACTTTGCTCCAAGCAGCATAATGCAGATGCAAATGCAAGACCCTCCGAAGCAAGAATCTCTTTGGACTTGACTTAAGCAAACCGTTGTTATTATATTAATCATTGTTGTTTGGAAACTCAATGAAGTCTCGACAAGTTTGCTTCTTGGCTATGTTGAAAAAGAGAAGATGGCAACATGTTTCGTGTAAGGAAAGTAATATAAGCAAAGCTTAAATGCACGCATGTGAAGGTGATGAGATGTAGTTAGAACCTTTATTTTTGTTTATTACTTTATTTTAGTTTCACGTCGTTTGAACAATGAAATTAGATTTAGAATTCCAAACTCAATTTAATTTTATTTAGGTGTTCAAGAATGATTTTTATTGTGCTGAAGAAGTCTTGAACAAACCTACTACACTTTTTCCCACAAGGAACCGACCCGAAACTGTACCGTTCAAATTAAAAATGACTTAGCATGATTAACCCAGATTCAATTTGAGGTTCTTAACTTATGATTTAACATTTTTTTTCATTTAAACTTTTCAGATAAAAACCAGTTTTTATATCTTTTATTTAAAAAATTGTTTTTAATTTTTTAGTTAAAAGATAATAAACGATTCTTAGCCGAACTAAGAAACGACGAGCTAAGAACATCATCCTAAAAACCCAGATTAATCAATGATCTTACATTACATAATTGAATGGACTCGTTTTAAAAAGAGATAAATTGATGCTTTCAATATAGTTATCTTAGAAAACAAAAGCAGCTTAACTTTTCCGGGACATTTTTGTACTATATATAGATATCCCAAAATGTATATTTTATTTCTACTTGCGATATAGTGAAGTTGAAATCGATGAAAAAATATCAAGTTGAAATGGACATTATATTCAAAAAAAATCTACATGATTCCTTTTTTGGTTAAAAATTAAGGGTGGACGTTCAGCTATCCATTCGGGTTCGGTTCGGATTTATTTAGGTTTTAAATTTTCGAGGTTAGAGATTCCAACTCCATTCGGATATCTATAAATTTTAGTTCGAGTTCGGTTCGGATCTTTGCGGGTTATGTGTGGGTTCGGATGACCCATTTAAATTATTTAAAAATTTTAAAAATTTATAGCTACTTTAAATATAAAAAATTTAAACGATAAAAATGATATATAACGTATAAATTTGAGTAATGTATGCCAAAATATCTTAACTTAACATAAAAGTTAGTTTAATTTGAATATTTGGATGAAGAATCAATAGATTTTTTAATGTATTAGCGGTATTTTGTGTATTGTTAACTACTTAAAAAATTTACTTTTGACTATTTGTATATATATTCAAATATATTTGGATAATCTCAAAATATCTTATACATTTTTTTATATTTTTTGATATTACATCGAAACATATTTAATATATTCAAATATATAAATCTGATTTGGATCTATTTGGGTACCCGAAATATTTTGATTCGGATCGAATTCGGTTTCGAGTTTTTAGATACCAAAACTTTGAACTCATTTGGATATTTAATCGATTTTGGTTCAGATTCAGTATTACGGATCGGATTCAGTTCAATTTTTTCCCAGCTCTAGTCAAAATCTACATGATTCAACCTTTATAGTTTGTTTGACTTATTATAGATTTATTAAGTCGCAGTTTGTTTGACGTACCATATAGATTTATTCGACCGACCGATGTGATTAATCATAAGCAACACGTTAGAACGTAAAGTCGCATGTAATGTTGCTTTTGTACTAATCCTTTTTTAAGCATATAAATTATAATTCATCAAACTCAACTAGACAAAAGGAGGAGGTGGTGTTGATGAGTTTGATTATATTATCTCCATTGCTAGTGTTCATGTGATCAGTAGAAGAAAAATTCAAAATATTGCATCTCGACATGGAAAAAGAATCTTATGATCCTATAAAAATAATCGCCCATGTTCTTTCACAATTTATTTTCTAATTTAATTTTTAATAGCCTTAACTTGTTTCTTACGATCGTACCAAGCCAGATAACCTATAACTGTCTTATTCATGCAAATATAATTATTGGGATGATGTTGTCACTTGTTACTATATTTTCAACTTTACGCGTAACACCTTTTTTATAAGATGGGGTGGTGTTCGTACACTCGTTCTTTTGGTCGAGATGACCATGCTGGATTTGGTCATCCCAGCTAGTGTTTTCTAGTAAGCTATTTCTCTCCAGCTCCCATTTCTCTTTCTCTTTAATTTCTTTCCCCGATTGATCATCCCAGCTAGTGCTGTTTCTAATTTTTCTTTAAATGAATTTTCCAACTATACTACCCATAAATTCATATTCTTGTAATATTTACTTTCAATTTAACTGAAACCTCTTTAAAAACACTTTTATTCGGAAAAAAACTATTTTGTGTGTACAGAAACTCTTTCTTACAATTGTTGTGTATTTAAATTAATACAGTACGTAGATGCATATATAAACCTATTTAATTACACGTAGACGCCCATGTGCTCCATGCACGTGCGTAAATTTATAAGAAGAAGAAAAAAACAGTTAACATAAATTGATATATTGCCATATTCTCCAGATTTTTCTAATCTGCCACACACACATAAGTTAATTAAAAAGCAGAAAACTCTAGTTATGTGGTTTGATTACAGTGGCAGAAGAAAATTAAGCTTTAATTTATACACATAAATCCAACATGCATACTTCAACGAACTTTTCCGTTGTAGGGCTGACGAGCATGGTTATGAATTTTAAAGAGTACTAGTATAACGTTTAAAAAAAAAAAAAAAGATTACTAGTACAAACCAAAATTTATAGCTTCATAGATGAAAAGATGTTTAATAAAATGGCGTTTGTACTGACGACAGAAGGATCGTTGATAAAATAGTTTATGGGATGCACTCTATAAATGACATGCATACGAATAAATTGATCTGCGTGTGTATTGGTGTATATACACTACTAGAAAACATGTTTGATTTTTCCACCAAAAATTCGATTGAAAGTTATGACCAATCTTCCACATTCACGTTTTGTAAATTCATGAGAAAACAATCAGAAATTTCCAATCAAAATTATTGCTTAAAAAGTGGTGGATAGTGTAGCTGATTTCACCATGCTAAGGTTTAGTAACTATTGTATTATGTTGGGATAAAGATCTTACATTATAAATAAATAAAAGATTTATCGTAAATCTGAATCTAACATGGTATTAGAGTTCAGATCCTAAAAAATCATAAGCGTCTAATTAATTAATTAACTTTTTTGATCGGGTATAGAGACCGTGTTTAACCTTTCGACTGAGTATAACTTTTGTCTTTGACTCGTTGGACCGCCTATAAATATCTTACAACTCCGAGATTTCTGACCGATAAAAACCATCATCTCGAGGGAGGGTATTGGAGAGATGATCCAACATTGAAAAAATGAATGGGACATGAGTAATATATAAGGGACTTGGACCAATCCACTAATTGTCAATTGGTTTTAGGTAGGAAGCCATCTAGATTAATATGATATCCCGATCCAAATAATCCAACCCGATCCATTATTTATCCAGCTCAAAGTTGGTCCATCGACCCCAAACATTTCGAAATTGACGTTCAAAGAGCTATCATCTCGAGGAGACGTATTAGTATTAGGGGAAAAAGTTCCACATCGGATATTGGAAAGAATCTTTAGTAACATATAAGATAGATGAGCCACTCTACTAATCATCAATTGATTTTAAAATGAAAGCCCAAGAAATTTATCATGGTATCAGAACTAACCCGTATGCTGACCCATTAATCCAATCCAGACAATGGCCCGTTCATGCCACGAATTGATGGCCCAAGGAAGGTTTAATTTCTTCGAGATAGTTAGAAACAGAACATTATCTCGGAGGGGATATGATGGATTCTACGAGATTAATGGCTATGCGCATTATTATCTCGAAGAAGGATGTTAGGATAAAGATCCCATATCGAAAATATATAAAGGACATGAGTAATATATAAAAAATTTGGACCAATTTATTAATTGTCAATTAATTTTAAGTTGGAAGCCTATACAACTTAATATATATGCAGATATATCTTGGTGATATAATTTCTGGTCAGTATCGGGTTGAGAGAAATCGAAGAATCTGATTTATGGTGTGTGAAACATTGGATTACAGAAAAAGAGCAAAAACAAACTCTCTGGCGATGTAGAGATTATGTTGTTACACAAGTGTTTTGGTACGTATAAATATTAAAAATCGGTGTAGTTTCTTTTTTTAATCAATTTTTAGTTGGTTCATTTTATGCTTCCTTTTTCTCTATTATTGTACATTGAACTATGAGATAGAGCTGTAATTTTTCTTAAAGTGCCTTGCCAAGATTGATCCGACTCCCGATATCGACACCATTATAATGATGAGTAGTTAAATTGGTTTAACAAATTCTGTGTTTCTATTTTTTTAATATCAGACACAAATAAAGGAGTGAGAGAGGTAGATGGACATATTGAAATCAACGGAGAGTGTGTGAAAGTGTTTTGTGTGAGTGATATATATTGAGATTTAAGAGCTGTTGTAGCAATACGTGTGCAAATTTTATAGCAAAAACTAGAAAACACAAAAAATGTAAGTGTGAAATGGTTGAGAAAAGTATAATTGAAAAAATGAGATTTTCACAACGTCAATAAAGGCATCTCCAACCCAATTCTATTTTTTACTTCAAAATAGAGTAAAAATTAGATTTTGACCCGCTCTTAAAAGCGCGGAAATTTTTTATGATTAAAAATTTATATAATTAGGTTTTGTTTTAATTTAAAGAATATTTTGATATAAAATCAGTTCATCAAAATTTGTGGTGATGATTGTTTTTCATTAGTTTTTTAGTTTGATTTTTTATTTTTAGATTTTGGTTTTTGGTTTTTAGTTTTTAAGTTTCTACTTTTCATTTTTAGTTTTTGGTTTGGGTTTTTAATTTTAAAACCCGCTGAGTTAGTTTGAACTGATATTACCAACAAACAAATCTCAAATAATCGAACATCTAGTTTAAAACTGAAAAGATGAAATTTTTTTTTTTAAAATGAAATAGTTTATATTGTAAATAAACAAAGCAAAAAAATATAATATGTGTTTTCAGTTTTTGGTTTTGGATTTTAGTTTTTAGATTTGGTTTTTGGTTTTGCTTTACATTTTTTTAATCAGTAAATTATTTAAGAAAAATAAAACAATAAATTATTTAAAAGTTACAATTGAAATTTATCAAAACAAAGTGATTGTTATTTAAAATAAAAAAATATATTAACATGTTTTAAAGTACATGGTTTAAATAAATGATTAATAATAGATAATTTTGTTTTGTTAAAAATATTAAATATCTTTTGGGTCTGAAAATAATAATTGATTTTTTGATTTTTTAAGGTGAAAATTTTATTCAATGTTTTTTTGGAGTTTTTTCTTAATATTAAGCCCA